AAGATTCATTAGCACTTCAATATCCAAAGATAACCACTACACATTTGACTTGGTTTCCTTCTTTCAAACTGTTATCTTTGACCTTCTGGCTTTGTAGCTTCAGGGTAGTAATCGGTTTTTAGGCAATTGTGACGAGGGTTCCTTTGTGTGTTAGCGACAGCAAGTGAGCGTTGCGTCGGTAAATATATGGGTGGGGACGCGGGGAGGGGTTTGAGGCTGCAACGAGGTGGTGCATTAAAGAATTGGGTTTCCGATGTGGCGATGGCAGGGCATTGGATAAAATAACGAAGGAGTAATAAAAGCTGAAAACGTTAGCAGAGTGCCTCTCGGGACTGCAGTTGCGGGGGGCGGAAGTTACAGGATCTTACATGCAACAAGTATAATGGAAAAACAAAAATTCCACCCCCCTTCCTGAGAAATGCTCTATTTTGGAGAGTTACGACAGTACGGAGGAGCAGCGAGTCTCAAAAGTCTAAAACCAACACCTTTAACATGATCACACTCTCACCTAGTCAGTAGGGGAAAAAAGATTAGTAGAATTTGAGGGGCCGATTGTCATCAAAAAAAAAAGTCCAAGGGGATCTATGATGTGGCCTGGAGGAAGCGGATGCCGGTGCAGTGCGTGTCATGAGTAGAGTGCTGGCGAGCATTCCCATCCATGTTGCCCAATTGAAAAAGGTCACTGCCCATGTATATTAGACAGTTCCCTATAAAAGAAATTTATTAGCACATGTCCTTTCTGTTCCTAATATCAGGGTTTAAAACAGAGTCCTACGCTGAAATAACTGAGAGGGCCAACATGGTAGCTGTTCACACTGCTCTCGGGACTGCAATAAAAAGAGCAGAGATATTATAAAAAGCTGCTAAATATATCCTGAATAAGAGTCAATTAGCATTCATTTCTTACAATAATTTTTGATCCCAGAAGATTATCTGTCAGTGTGCGTTCTGTGCATGTGGCCGCGATGTGCTGTGCGTGTGCGGGTGCATGTCTCAGACAGTCCGTGCGTGTCTGTCAAGTCTAGTGTGTGTGTTAAAAAGGTGATTATCTGTCGTACCTTATCTGTTATCCTTGGAGTTACAGCTTGCTAGAACAGTGTAACTGATCTTTTAATGCTTACAGCATTTCACACTCAAATCATTACAAGTTAGAGTACATACATTAAAGTTTGTACCTGTTATTTATATTCAAGAGATGGTTTTTTTATATATATTTATCAATATGTCATTGAAAAGAGAATTGCAATGGAGATCTTCAGGAAATAACAAGAAAATATTAGAGTGATTTCCTGTCAAATCGAATCTTTCTACTGAAGACAAGGACGATGAACATGTGAATAATAATGATCAATAGATCATCTGATTTAACTTCAGATCTGTTGAGAAAACATTTCTGGGATATAGAATATTATCTGAAGGGGAAGAACATTTGGTTTTGCTGAAGGGATTGTGATGAAAGATGTGTTCAGATAGATAATGCAGATACACTACATGTCATTTGTAAAAATAAAAAAAATTAAAAAGTGATGTCGCAATACAAACAACAATATTTCGAGAGATATCCTAATCGAACTTTGGGCTGTTTTGTCAATATAGTACTCACTAGAAACAAAGAAAGGAAAATCATACTAATGCAAATAAACTTTTGGACTAAGATAAATACTGGTATAGAGATTTTACGTGCACGCATGAGTTATGGAACATTTTTACAGCTATTTGCGTTCAATCGATTTAAGCAAGTACCAATAACCAAGAATTGATCAATATGAAAAGTGAAGAGATTGCTCATACCAGAACTACTTTCAGATTCTTTTTATAAACAATTGTAAACTGAGTTATAACAGGCGAATTTTGTTTAACAATTGACGAGGAAATAACATTGGAAACCATTCCGTGGAAGATGCAACTTTTATCCAAAGACATACATTCCTAGGCAACCAGCAAGTATGAGTTGAAATACTAAACACTCCTTCTGATGTAAAAAGCTATATTTCACACAAATATTGGGGCATAATGAGAAAAGACAAGAAAATTCCCCGAGTCATGCCAATACAAATAAGAATTTTTGAAATTATACGTCTATTGATATCAGAAAGATGTAACAAAACAAAACAAAACATGGTGTTATTAATTAATCTACTATGAATGGATGATCGGGTATTGTTTTCAAAAACAGGGAAACCAAAAAATTCCCCTGATTAAAACATGACTAAAGTGCCGTGACACATGGACGCACATGTTAGCGACTGTAACACGCACGTAAGACTGTTCATCCACAAATACATGGTGGTCAGAAGATGGCCCACTGAGGAAACTGGATGTTTAAAGAAGCATGTCTTCTTGAAAACCCTAGTGCTGTCGAGCTTATGAAAACCTTACCTATATAGAGCATCAGTGGTATCAGTTAGGGAAAAAATATTCAAGCAATACTTTGAAGATACAGGACCTGAAAGAAAGCGTGAAGAAGCAAATCATCACAAAAACCAGAGGTAGCATGGTAATTTTTTGGTGCAAAGAGAGAAAACAAATTTACAACCACAAAATGTGAATGTAGTCAAAATGTTTGTCTGAGTGAAGAAGACATTCTACCAACAACAATATCGTGCAGTGCATGTGAAAGAAAATATGATTCAGAATGACTTTGACAAAAACAAGAAGTAATATTATTCACATATTATTTTGTATAGTGGCCATCTTTGTCAATGTTACAAATATGCTCTCTAATTCAACAACGAGCTAGAGGGAGAGGGGGAGAGAGGGAGAGGGGGAGAGGGGGAGAGAGGGGGAGAGAGGGAGAGAGAGAGAGAGAGAAAAGAAAAGAAAAAAACGAAAAAAAAGAAAAGAAAATTATTTCATCCAAGGTGTGATGCAGGGATTTGAATTCCAACTTTTAAAAAATACTGGTAACAACATCAATTAACAGTAATTTTAGGTTACTTAACAATTTCAGGTTAAAGCAAAAGACTTGACTTTCAAAATTAAATAAGAAATTAATCAAAGATATCTTCGAAATGAGAAGAGTTATGATTTAAGTCAGGCCAGAGAATAAGTAACTTTAGGGAAAAGCCAGATTAAGATTCATTAGCACTTCAATATTCCAAGATAATACACTACACATTTGACTTTGGTTTCCTTCTTTCAACTTTCTTTGACCTTCTGCTTTTACTTTCAGGTATAATCGGTTTTTGGCAATTTGACATTTCCTTGTGTGTTACACACAATCACTTCTCGTAATATATTGGTACCAGGTTTGATGCACATTCATTAAAGAATTTGGGTCATGGCATATGCAGGGGCAATTGGAAAAGTACAATAAATAAAAACTAACAAACTTACAGTGCCTCTCGGGACTGCATCGGAATGTACAGATCTTAATGCACAAGTAATAATGAAAAACAAAAATTCCACCCCCCTCCCTGAGAAATGTTATTTTGAAGTACACCAGTACTGTAATCCAGCGAGTCTCAAAGTCTACAACACCACATTCACTCTCACACTAGTCAGTAGGGAAAAATAGTAGAATTTACCATTGTCATCAAAAAGTCCAGGATTAATGATGTGCCTGGACGATAACCATGCTGTCCATCTGTCATGAGTAGATCTGCCAGATTCCCATCCATGTTGCCCAAATTGAAAAGGTCACTGCCCATTATATTAGACATTCCCTATAAAAGAAATTTATTAGCACATGTCTTTCTGTTCCTAATATCAGGTTTAAAACAGAGTCCTACCTGAAATAACTGAGCCAACATGGTACTGTTCAATGCTTCTCGGGACTGCAATAAAAAGAGCAGAGATATTAAAAAGCTGCTAAATATATCCTGAATAAGAGTCAATAGCATTATTTCTTAACAATAATTTTGATCCCAAAATTATCTGTCAGTGTGCGTCTGTGCACGTGCCTGCGTGTCTGTGCGTGTGCGGGTGCATGTCCGTCAGACAGTCCGTGCGTGTCTGTCAGTCTGTGTGTGTGATAAGTGATTATCTGTCTCCTTATCTGTTCCTTTGGAGTTAAGCTGCTAGACATGTAACTATCTTTTCTTGCTACACATTTCACACTCAAATCATTACAAGTAGAATACATACATTAATTTTACCTGTATTTATATTCAAGAGATGGGTTTTTTATTTTATCAATAGGTCTTGGAAAAGAGAATTCATGGAATCTCAGGAAATACAAGAAATATTAGATGATTTCCTGTCAAATGAATCTTTCTCTGAAGACAAGGACGATGAACATGTGAATAATAATGATATAGATCTTGATTTAACTTCAGACTGTTGGAGAAAACATTTCTGATATAGAATATTATCTAGAAGGGGAAGAAAATTGTTTTGCTGGAAGAGATTGTTGATGAAAATGTGTTAGATGAGATAATGAAATACACTAACATGTACATTTGTAAAATAAAAAAAATTAAAAAGTGATGTCCAATACAAACAACAATATTTTCGAGAGATATCCTAATGAACTTTGGGCTGTTTTAGGCATATTGTACTCAATAGAAACAAAGAAAGGAAATCATACTAATGCAAATAAACTTTTGGACTAAGATAATACTGGTATAGAGATTTTACGTGCACGCATGAGTTATGGAACATTTTTACAGTATTTGCGTTCAATCAGATTTAACAATACCAAAACCAGAATTGATCATATGAAAAGTGACAAGATTGCTCATACCAGAACTACTTTAGATTCTTTTATAAACAATTGTAAACTGAGTTATAAAACAGGCGAATTTGTTACAATTGACGAGGAAATTGAACCATTCCGTGGAAGATGCAACTTTATCCAGTACATTCCTAGCAAACCAGCAAGTATGAGTTGAAAATCTAAACACTTTCTGATGTAAAAACATATTTCACAACAAATATTGGGGCATAATGAGAAAAGACAAGAAAAATTCCCCGAGTTCATGCCAAATAAAAATAAGAGTTTTGAATTATACCGTCTTTGGATATCAGAAAGATGTAACAAAACAAAACAAAAACATGGT